GCTCCTCGTTCCTGGTTTGCTAAATTTCATGACACCATTGCTCAACTTGGGTTCACTTCTAGCACTTATGACAATGCACTTTTTATCCGTCGCAATGATCATGGTACTGTTATACTTCTTTTGTATGTTGATGATATGATTATCACGGGTGATGACTCTAATGGTATCTCTGAGCTTAAGCAATTCTTAAATCTGCACTTTGAGATGAAGGATCTTGGTTCACTCAGCTACTTCTTGGGCATCCAGATTCTCTCTTGTGATGATGGTTTATTCCTCTCCCAGGCCAAATATGCTTCTGATCTTATCTCTCGAGCAGGACTCACAGATTGCAAAACTGAGTCTACTCCTCTTGAAACTCGTGCTCACTTCACTCCCCTTGATGGTACTCCTCTTGAAGACCCGACACTTTATCGACAGTTGGTTGGGAGCTTGATTTATCTCACAGTCACTCGAACAAATATCGCATATGTTGTTCATTTGGTTAGTCAGTTCATGTGTGCCCCACGATCCACACACTTTGCTGCTGTTCTTCGTATCATCATATATATCAAGGGCACTATCTTTCACGGTCTCCATTACTCAGTTGATTCCCCATTGATCCTTCGTGCTTACTTAGATGCTGATTGGGGTGGTGATCCCACTGACCGCCGTTCTGTTACTGGTTTTTGCATTTTTCTTGGTGACTCCCTTATTTCTTGGCGTAGCAAGAAACAACAACTTGTTGCACGTTCTAGCACTGAGGCCGAATATCGTGCTATGGCTGATACCACTTCTGAGATTGTCTGGATTCGTTGGCTTTTAGGTGATCTTGGGTTTCCCCAATCTTCTCCTACTGATCTGTTTTGCGATAATCGTAGTGCTATTCAGATTGCTCACAATGATGTTTTTCATGAGCGCACCAAGCACATTGAGATTGATTGTCATATTACTAGACAACAAGTTGTTCGTGGTACTCTTCATCTAATTTCGATTAGCACTATTGATCAACCAGCTAACTTGCTTACTAAAGCACATCATCCTGGTCATTTTCGCACATTAGTTTCCAAACTCAAGTTGGTATCTTCCTTACCTACTTGAGTTTGAGGGGGGATGTTACAATATGTAAATAATACTTTAAGTTAGGGTTATTTTAGTCAATTTATTTAATGTGTATATACCCCTTCTTTGTATCACATTCATTTATTATTATTCAATACACATATATTTTCATCTCTTTTTCTCTCTTCTTCACAATGTTAATGACTTAGTAACATATATAAACTCAAAGATTATAAGTAAAAAAGCATACAATAACAATTTGGTCTAGCACAATATATTTATATTTGTCAAGATTTAAAAACAATATATTTATATTTGTCAAGATTTAAAAACAATATATTTATATTTGTCAAGATTTAAAAACAAAAAAGACAACTAGAAGTGATAACAAAAAAGAATTAAACATGACTTCTAAGACACATTCACTTACATAGATTTCAAAATAAAGTCCTAAAACTACACGGCGTCAACAATACATATCAAAATATAAAGGAAAGTATATGGAACAAGAATGCTAAGATTATACAACAAGATTTGATTCTAATTTATCAACTTATAAGTTAGTTTTATTAAAATAAATTTGTTTAGTACGCAAACATATTTTAGGATGTTATGACTTACTTGCATTAGTTAATTGAAATAACTTATATAAGCTCATAACTCTTTTTTTTTTTTTTTTTTCTCTTTTTCTTTTTTTATTCTCATTTACTTGAAATTCTTTTTTACCCTTTTTAATTTAGAAATCAATTTGCCTACATGTTATTCTCACATTCTCATTATTAAATAAATATGTCATTTTAAATTAATTAGATAGTTTATTAGTTAATCTAATTAAACACTTTCAATTCAATCGATTAACATATAAGCTTCCAACTTTTTAACTCCTAATTTATAATCTATAAGCTTTCAGCCAACTTCTAATTAAACTGCTTTTACTAATCACACCATTATCCTAGTATTTTATTTTTAAAATAATAAATTAAATTTGAGAAACTAACATTTCCAACTTCAAAATCCTGAAAAAGTAAAATGTTTTTCATGTACCAAAGTAAGTGAAAATAATTATGTCAATGTCAATAGTTAAAATAAAAAGGTATAAATATATTTTTAGTTCTTACAAAATGTACAAATTTTGATTTTGGTCCTTATAAATTTTTTTTCTTTATTTTTCATCCCTATACAATTTAGAACTATTTTTTTATATCTTGATGTTTTATATTCATTTTTACTGTTTATTTGTTTATTAAAATGTTAAGTGTTTATCTCATGTGTTATTCATGATTGTTAATGATATTATGGTAGTGTGTGACACATCTAAATTTGTTTAAAAGCTCTTAAAATAAATATTATTTATCTATCTTAAAATCATCGTTAGGAACCAAAAATAATTATTTTAGATCTTAGAAAGATACAAATCAATAAAAAAAAATATTTTATAGCGAACAAAGTCAAAATTTACTCATTTTATTTGCAAATTTTAGAAACATGAAAAATAAAGAAAAGTTTTTACAGGAAACAAAATCAAAACTCACTCATTTTACAGAGACTAAAAACATACTAGTGTTTTAACTTGTACAATATACAAACATATTTATTATATATAATTAAAATTTATAATAATTACATATATAAATAAATATTGTGTTTAAATATATAAATTATATTTACAATTGTATAAATAGACATTTTTAAACATATAAATTATATTTTTAATTTATGATAAATAATTTATTGTACCACAAGATTATTTTAATTTATTAATAATTTATTTTAAAATATTAATATTTAATTTATAAATAATTATGATAAATAAAAATCGAATTAGATATGAAATTAAAAAATATATATAATCTCTCTCGTCAAAAAAAATTACTAAAAATATATAGTTCGTATTTAATACAAAGCTAATTTAAGCAGAAAATGTAATGGTTTGTGACAGCGCAACTGCTCCTTTGTTTTTACGTACTTGTCTTATTTCTGTGTTATATCCATTAGTCTTTGGTTTACTTGTTTGTAACCATCAACTTTTACTTGAAAAAAAAGTTAATAGATAATTCATGTAAACGCTTACAATGAGGGTCAATTGATGGATACGTTTGGAAAATTCTGGCTATGTTGAAGTTAGTGACAGTTTGAAAATTCTAAAGTTATAATTGCTGAGGAAGAAGCCAGCAAAGATCTCAAGTCTTTTGGCTTAAAGGTGGTGATGTCAACTCCAAATACGTTCATTCCTTTGTCATGGCAAGGATATGTTGGGATACAAATAAGTCTCACATCGATAAAATATGATAAAAATAACAATTTATATAGCATAAACATACTATAATAATTAAGAGACCTTTTAAGTAATGACCAAAAATAAAACCATGAGGGCTTAGGCCCAAAGCAATAACTCATCAGTGGTATCAGAGTCGCAGGTTGGATTCGGTGACAACCAATAACAATTATAAAAAAAATGATAATGATAATGTGATATATAAAGACAGATTCTGCTACATGAAAGCTTAGGTCTCTTGTTTGAGAGGAGGATTGTTGGGATACAAACAAGTCCCACATCGATAAAATATGATAAAAATAACAACTTATATAGCATAAACATACTTCAATGATTGAGAGGCCTTTTGGGTAATGACCAAAAGCAAAATCGTGAAGGCTAAGGCTCAAAGTAGACAATATCTCATCATTGTGGAGTATGTTTGTATAATAACCTTATAAAAACAATCTTCATAAAATATCGCCTCAAATAAATACCAAAAAAAATAACCCCATCAAGACAAAATTCAATGTTATATTCTCATTGGATCGTGAAGATGGAGAAAAAGTGGATAAACATCATGATTTATTTGGGATCTTAAAGGATGGATACCAATAATAGCTTCAATTAATTTTTCTCTTTGTAGATAAATATTTATCTTGTATTCATCTCTATATTTATAGAAATACTTAAGGTAACTATTAAGTGGATATTTAATATTTGTAAGTATTATGGATATTTGTTTTAAAAGAAATAAATAATATTTAAAAATATTTTAATAATAATTTTATTTATTCTAATTATTTCTTTAAAATAATAGTTATTCAAATATTATATATAATTATATTAATCAAAATTCTTTAATTTAAAAATTAATTTTAATTGTTAGAATACTTCATTTCTATAAACTTAAATAAGTTTAATATATAATTATATAATTGAATATTAATGGATATTTGTGAATACGAATTCCATGATACTTGTATCCATCTCGTTAACAGGTAACATAAAATATATTCATATTCATTACTCAGATACCTATTTATAATATTTATTTTCTATTTATATAAAATTTTAACCACTGATATATGTGGTTACAATATTTTTTTGACATTCCTAATTAATGATAATGTTTGTGACGTGGTAAAGAGTTATTTTAATAACTTAATTTGTATAGTGTTAATTCCATTAATTCAACCTTTGGAATTTGATCATGCTCAAGTGTGCCTATAATCTGAAAATAAGAACATACTGCTGGATCCTTTTACTATGGAGGAATACAAGAATGATCTTTTTCAAATGAACCCTGACAAATCTCACCTGGCCATGGTCTTAATCCGGAATTCTACCAAAAAAATTTGGCACCCATGGTCCTGACATTTTCAACTCGGATGTTTCTTGGTTTGAGAAGTTCCACCCCAAAGTTAATTCTACTACTTATTTTTCTTATTCATAAGAACAACAATCCTACTTCCATTAAGGATTATAAACCTGTTTCCCTGTGCTATGTTCTTTACAGAATTATATCCAAAACTCTTGGCAGCTGTCTTAAGCCTTTACCTACAAAGTGCATCTCTTGAGTAAGGATGACAAAAAATATACATGTATATGTAAATAAAATTCGTTATAAATAATAAATTAGTTGTTATTAAATAGATATTTGTGAATAATAGATTTGAGTTTTTTCCTACCTGTCTATAAATGGGACATGGATGAAGTTGATGATATCCATATATGTGAGTATTCTTTAAGTAATATTACTTAAATACCATTGTTTATATATAAGTAAATAATTTTAAATCATCTAATTTATCTTTATTATTTTAACTTAGTGAATTGAGACTTTCATTTAGACTTATGAGATTAATGTATTTTAAGTTATTTAAATAAAAAAACTAAAAACTAGAAATAGAAAGCATAACATTTAATATAATAAACTAAGTAATAGTAATAAAAAAAACTAAACTATTCTGGTGGTCACAACCCCGTATCATATGAGGTATTTCCTCGTCCATTAACAAGGATTGTTTTATGAAAAATGTAAGTTCATTCAGCACTCAGGAACCTTGTTGCAATGTTGATACAACTTGGCTTATTACATTTTAGAAGGCCACCAATTGAAGTTTTAGCATAATTTAGTTTATACAATGTTTAGGCCTGAGCACGGGTCGGGTTCGGGTAAAAAAATATTTAATCCAATCCAAACCGACAAAAAAAAATTTAACCCATTTTCGACCGTAACAATTTACGGGTTTATCGGGTTCGGGTTTGTTGGGTCTCGGATTAACCGGGTCGGTCTAGTCGGATTCGAGCGCAAGTTCGAGCGCCACCAGGACCTCCTCCAGAGCTTCACCGACGCCGAAACCCTAGACGACGCCTTCAAGTGGATGGCCAAAATCGACAAATTCGAGCACAAGCACTTCCGCCTCCGCCCCGAGTATTGTGTCGTTGGCGAGCTTCTGAACCGCCTCAAGGTCGCCACTGAAATCAAGGACAAGTTTGTTCTTCAAAACAAGCTTAATAGGGCGTTGAGGCTGGTAAGGTGGAAGGAGGCTTATGATCCTGATAACCCTGCCAATTATGGTGTCATTCAGGGGGAGCAGCTGGATGCTGCGGCTGCCGTCGATGCGAAGGAAGAGGCTGAGTTGGAGAAGGAGAAACTGATTGGGGATCCACCGCGTGATGACAGTGATGACCGCGGTGGATCCGATAGTGTTCGTTCTGGCTGCAACGATGAACCTCGTTGTGCATGCGAGCAAAACCGTTCCCTTCATTTGAGCGACGTCATTCGCCGAGCTTCGCGGCCCAGCACGCGAAGGCTTCACTCAGCGTGGGCGAGGAGGACGTGGTGGTTGGGTGCTGCACGGGGATGATCCTGACGGGACAGGTAGCGGGAGCGGCGGCTAGGGTTTCTAGTTTGTGAGCAGAATTTGGATCGGTCGGGTATGGATACCGACGGGTTCAAATATTTTAACCCGAACCCGACCAAGATAACTCATTATAAACCGAGTCTAACAACCCGTAAAACTGAAAAAACCGAAAATAACCAGCCGAACTAAAAACCTCACCTCGGAAACTTCCGGTTTCGGTCGGTGTGACACCCTCTACCCCAAAAGAGACTTTTTCTTTATTTTTTCTTAAAAGATGAACTTATAAGGTTCACTTAAGAAATATCTTATATATCCCTACTATAATTGACCTAATTAATTCTAACCTAAACTAACCTGGAAACTACTTAATTACCAAAAACCTCTTGACTCTGAGAATTTTGAAACATAACAATAATAAAAAAATAACCATTTAATCATATAAATAATTAAAACACCTAAAACATGTGATGTTATATATTTCCTTCTCAAATTCCTTAACAAATTTAAGGTGAATGGTAATATATAAACTTGAAAACATTGTCTCTTCTCATTGATGCAAAGTTTAAACATGGGCATGTGTTCTAACGTCATTATTTTGTCAAAATGTTGAAATTGGAATGTTCCAGCACTTCCATGATCCCTTGTTGGTTTCCTGATGTGTTCTATCCGAACTAGAAGATGGCTCTTGATGCTACTGATGAGTTGTAGAATATATGCTCAAAACAAAAACTATTGGAAACAAAATGTTGTCTTAGAAGATAAAGCATATATGGCTTGATTTGTTGTGGTTGTATAATAGCTTTAACTACTGGTTTCTTCTTTTGCCAATTTTGCGTGGATAATGGTGAATTTATTCTTAAAAAAAATGCCACAAATAACATGAAAAAAGCCGAAGATGGTTAAAACTTGAAAGGTTTTGTAAGCATTGATTGGGTTAGTTCAAACTCTTGACATATTCTGCCTTAAAATAAAAACAAATATGAATTGCCCTTCTTAACTTCTTTGACTTATGGCTGGTCTTCACATAATATGGAAGCCATCCTATAAATAATATAATGGAAAATACTTTTTTGACTCTCCTATGGGTGCCTATTATGGGAAAATTTAAAAATAAGAAGAAATAAAAAACAAAATAATTAATTTGATGATTTTTGTGACGAAAAGAATACTAATAAAAAAAAACTGTGTTTAGGAAATTCTAAATCTTATAATTTTTAAAGCGATGGTATCCATATTTATTATTTTTTAAATATTTTATACCCACTATCTTTATCTTGCTATTATATTATTTATCATATCGCGTTTAGCGCCATTGGAAAGCTAACATCCAAGGCTACAACTTTCATGAAGACTACAAAGTCCAATTCTGAAAGTACAAAGGCGCTCAGCGCCTCCAAAGCGCTCAGCGCTTTGCCTCCAGAGATTCTCCTCTAGCTCTCTGCCTCTAAAGCGCTCAGCGGTTTAAAACGGCTCAGCCGTTTGGCTCCAGGGGGCTCTCTGCCCCCAAAGAGCTCAGGGCCTTAAAACGGCTCAGCCGTTTGGTTCCAGGGGCTCTCTGCCCCCAAAGCGCTCAGCGCCTTTAAACGGCTCAGCCGTTTGCGACAGCGAACACAATCCCTCCACCATTTTTGAACAACAATCCTGCAGATCTTAACAGAAAATTAACATGCAAATGGATCAAAATGTCACATTTTCATCAAGGAGTTCAAAGATACCAGCTTTATATGCATGCAACCACAAATCAGAGAAAATCAAACTTTGGATTCAAGACCACAAAACCCCCAAAGTTCCAGCAGCTCAGCCAATAAAATCACTCATTTTCAACCACCAAAGAGTTCGTAGAACTCGTTTCAACCCCAGAAAAACCAAATGACTAGCTTCCCTTACCTCAAAATGAAGATCGCAACTTCCGGGAATGAGAAAAGGAGAAGAAGGGGAAAAGCTCCACGAAGAAGAAAGTGACCCACGCCTCAGTTAGTCCTCAACACCCGAAACAACACCTTGAATTCACACCCCAAGGAGAAAGATTAGTGAAGTGAGGAGGGAGGAGTAAGGAGAGTAAGGGTGAAGGGAAATGGAGAGTGAGTGGGAGAGGGGGGGGGGTCGGGGAGAGAAAAAAAATGAATAGGGGAAGTAGGGTCTCACAGAAAACCCCTATTGGCGTGACCAAACTCCACGCTCAACCTCATTTTAGGCAAATAACATATACCTAACTCACATCTGACATCACTGAATTGGCGCCCGGCATCATTTAGGCAAGAGTCTCTGTCTTGATCACGCTTAATGTCTCTCAACTAGGGTCTGACTTCACCAAGTCAAATATGTTTTTCTCTCATCGTTTCTAACGCCATTTAATCTGTGACCAATAGGACCAAGTTAGAGACTTTTTCTCTCACTCACGCCCAACATTACCAACCTCACACCCAATGTCAACTTGGTAGAGAGCCTCTAACCCATGTCACACCCGATACCTTGAAATTACACTCGGGGTGATGGTGAAATTTACGCTCAACAAATTCATGAATTGGCTTGAATTCACCTGAAACTAAAAAATTCCAAGCATACATTACAACAATTCATATATTCTCATTATTAATAACTCATTTTACACCTAAAGAACAACATGCAACGTCAATTAGGATATAACCACCATATTTCACCTCTACAAGCTCAACACACAAAAACTTAACAAGCAACAAAAACCACCTCAGATTCATTTATACAACCTTGACTTTAACGAAATCTAGGCACAATGACCCAACAAATCATCACGAATTACAATTCTAGTTTTCCCTACCTCAAGATCACTCTAGAAAAAAAGGAAGAAAAAAGACAAGAAATCAACCTAGGTAACTTCGCACCATGGTCTTTACAAATCGATTCTAGGTTCCAACACCTTGAATCCAAACACAGCAAGTCAACCACGTTGCAGGGAAGGATCTAATGCTCATAGAGGTCAATAAGATGAAGAGAAATCTCACTAACTCTAGAGTGTTTCTCTCTAGACCATCTCTAAAATTTCTTAAGAAATTTACTTATAAAGCTCAAATTTTAAAAGAAACCTTATTTACATTTTCCTCGAGGTCAAATGGACCTTTGTCCAAAGAAATCCTTACTCCACCTAAAACTCCTCGAGAATTCCTAAATTCATAAAATTCCTCAACAATTAAACCTCAAAATCACCATAACATAAAAATCAACCCAATTAACAATTATTAGTAAAAACGTATAGTGTTACAAAGCACTTTAGCCATGAGTGGCTAGCCTTTATGTCGTTGTAGACATATCCAAAATTTTATTTTATTTTGAATGTGAATTACTTGATACGTGTGAAACCCATTATTTTGGACATATCTGATATATGTATGAAATTAAATTATGAGATGTTGTATACTTTTTAATGACTTTAACTAATAATACAAAATATTAAAAAAAAATTATAATGTAAAAAGATGTTCATTTGCACTCATAATTAATTAATTAATTATCTATGTTAATGGTCTAAAAGAACTAATAGAAAATAGCAAGAAATATGGATAGTCTCACGTGGGTTAATAAAATTTGGGTATTGTAACATTATAAGTTTTTGCTAATTATTGTATTTTATCAATAATTATGTATTGTTGTATTCTTGGTGTTTATTGTCGTAAGATTAGGTCGTTTAGAGAGTTTCTTTAGACATAGGTCCAATTTGACTATGAGGGAAAGGTATATAAGTTTTCTTTTGAGACTTAAGCCTTATAAATTCATTTATCAGATAACTTTAGAGATATTCTAGAGAGAGAAACTCTAGAGTGCTTATTTTTCTCCTTCTTCTTTCTAGGTTCCTCAAGTACATAAGGATTGTCATTGGATAGTTGATTCGAATCTAGAAGTTGAGAATCAAGTTGGTGTAGGTGTAGAGCTTCGATGATAGCTTAAAGATGTTCCTTTCTTCTTTTCCTTTCTTGGATCACTTCAACTATGAGGTAAGGGAAGCTAGTCTCAACCCTTGTTGTTTGGGTATGGTCTATGTTGATTTTCACTTGGATGGGTGCTTGAATTTCATATCTTGGTGATTGTATTGACTGATTTTAAGAAATAAGGTGATAATGGTGTTTTGTTGTTCTTGAGGTAAAATTTGATGTTGTGATCAAGTTGTATGTTGCATGTGGATTTTGAGGATAGATATGAGTTGTTCATGATGGGTATGTATGAATTGTGTTGTTGCATGCTTCAATTTTTTGGTTTTCAAGCGAAATGAGAGAAAATTTGTGGCCTGTTATGTGTAGAACTCATTATCCCACTAGGCATACCTTCAAGGCATTAGCGTAGCTCAAATTAAGAAGTCTTTATCTTACTTGCGTCAGACATAGGATTGATGGCTCTAGGCTTAAGGAGAAAGAAAAACCTCTGATTTGGTTATGTCAGGCATGATTTGAATGGAATTGGACGTGAGGTGAGAGAATTAGTTATGTCTAAACTGACATTGGGCGCCAATGGAGTGACATCAGATGTGAGATGAGAGACTCATCTTTGCCTGATTTGGGGTCGAGTGTGGACTTTGTCACACTAGGCATAAGGGTCCAAGGGTTCTCTACCTCATCCACGTCGGATGCAGGTCGAATGGTGTCGAATGTGGACGAGGCAGAGGACCCCTACCTCGATGGCATTTGATGTAGGGTGTGTAGCATCGAACGCGATTTACTTTGAAAACTCTTGTTGTTTAATTGATGAAATGGTGAACATGAATAAGTTAGAGGAAACTATTTATGTTGTATGTTAATGAGTGTTATTAGTTATATATATATATATATATGTGTGTGTGTGTGTGTATATATATATATATTGATATCGAATAATATGTATATATGCTTATAATTGTTGAATATTATTGAATTGTTGAGGTGTGGTGCTAGGAATTCTTTAGGCATTTAGGCATGATATGTTCAATGTCACTAAGTCAAAGAACTTCTCAAGTTCTCACGTCTGACACCACTCATTTCATGTTGAGTGTGACGAAG